TTTTTTATGTAATTATAGATAAAATTTTAACTGATAATTGTTTTTTTTTAATTTTTCAGACTTAGCGGACAGGAAGGAAGATGCAAAGAAGCTGATTTCCTGCAACAAACAGTGAGTTTTTTTCTTAATTTTTATTCTACAAAAGAATTATCTCTCTTCTTAAATTCGGATTAATTTCTTTTAAAAATATTTGTTCAGAAGTTAACTGTTAAAATAACAGTTAAAATTTGCCATTACGTGGTATGTAAATTATGTCTCCTACGTATAAATTTAATAAAAATTGATTTATGTAGTAATATAAACGGATATACAAAAGTAAAATTTTATACGTTAGTTAAACATTGAATATGATGCAAACGAAATAAATATCAGAATAGTTGGATTAAAAATGAAAATTACATTATTATTTAAACCCGTATATTCGAGAAATTTTTTTCGAGAGATATAGATAGAGTGAGACAGAGAATATCGAGAGAATAAATGATAATCCTACAGATTAATAATTAAAAAATATTAAAATAAAATATAAAATTTATAAAATCAAAAATAAAATATAAAATATAAATTATAAATAAATATAAAAGTAGAGATAAAAAAACGTTGCGTTAAAAGTAAACAAACTATAAACTTACAAAGAATTTGAAATATAAAAATAAGTTGTTTCAATTTAACTTTTGCATATAAAAATAGAGTAAAATATAAAATTAAAAAAGGAAGTAAAAATAAAAAAAAAATAAAAATATAATAAAAAATTTAGAAATATATATTGAAAATGAAAAATAAAGTATAAAACAGGAGAAATAAAATAAAAATTGCGAAAAAAGTGCAATTAATAATCCTTCAATATTTAAATATACAAATTAGCATATTTGAAAGGGCAGAGTCAATAATATGACCTGAAAAATATTGGTTTAACATAATTAACATTGAATTAAGAAATTATCCTCTATTCGAGTTTAATCGGATTGACCCAATGAACCATTTTCCCTGAGAAGGTAATCCAGTGGAGCAAAAGTATGTTTCCAACATATATTAGTGTGGCGAAAGTTTAAATTGTAATTGTCAGAAGTAATGTGAATAATTTTAATTGAAACTTTTTCAACAAGTTTTTCTATTATCATAAAGTGAATTTCAATTCAGAAAAATAGAAAAAAAAGGAGACTATGGAAAATTTTCGAAAGACCACAAAATTTAGTATTACTTTTTTCTTTATTAAACTTCCTCTCATTTATTAATCCTTTCGTAATTTAATTCTTTCTTAATTCTCTCGTTCCTAATTCAAACTTTGTTAAATTTATTCAAATTTTTATTATTATTATATTTGTTAATCTTTAGTAATTTATTAATTTATAATTTTATATTCAGTAATATTTCTATATAATAAATTGAATAAATTGAATATATTTAATTTAATATATTTAGTTTCTCATTTTTAGTTTTTAATATATTAAAAACAAAAAAAAGAGGAAAAAAATTGTTGGGAATAATTTTTCTGTAATTTTGACGCTGTAACTGTGGGTTCATGATCTGATTACAAGTGGACTGGGGTATATATCTGGGCAAAATCTCTTTTGCTTTATTGTACAATAGTTCACAGCATCCCTTCTTCCCGGTCTCGTTTCGCAAAGGAGAACTTGATGAGTAATGGCTTATGTGGAAAGAGATAGGTTGTCATCAAGTACAAGATGCTTCAGTCTACTTCACGAGTCCTTGAGAAACTTCCCTTCATGTGCTTTATAGTGAGAAACCCCCCCTGAGATAAGTTATTTTCATCATATTTACAGGTGCATATATAATTTAATCTCACCAGACAGCATCACATCAAAAGATGCTCCAAAGGGAATCTTGAATAACATCTTCTTTACCCTCTACTCCTTTTGTTGTTTACAAGTCTCCACCCTTAATTTTCACTCATTTTCGCAATATTAAAACTGGATAAAACGCAATTTTTATTTTTTTATTTTTTTATGTTTTTATTGATATAGGAAGAATAAATCCCCGGATTATGAGAAATACTTTTTTTATAAATTACTTTTATGTTTTATTTTTTAAGTTGAGAAGATTTTTCATTGAAAAATAATCAATAATAATTTGAACATAAAAATTATCCTTTCTTAAAAAAGACATGGAGTGGAAAGGTCGAATGTATCGAAAAGTATCGAAGTAAAGAATGGGCAATGAGAATGTAAAATCTTTATAGAAGGGTGTTTTCAAAATTGTTTGGACATTAGATATGTGAGGTGGCGCTGCAGTCGTATGTTATTTAAAAAGAGCGCGAATATATAAATTTTATTTTTGTTAAGAGAAAGTACTCATCATAAATCTTATTTTGCATTGTCAGAAAAAACGTCAACATTTCAAATATAAATAAGCAAATTATTAACTGAAAAAATTTGAATATTATTATTAATGAAATAATGGACTTGGACAATGGACATAGAAAAACTAGCACCGTAGACGGCCGCTTGCGGCCGTCGGAGGAGCTAGTGTTAAAAAAAAGTTTATTTCATATTTATTTAATAATGATGATTTAGAATTTTGAAAGTAACTTATAATTCAATATATGATGACTTATTAAACTTTATTTGTCCTAATTACTAAAAATTAATTTTAAATTTGTTGCAGACACTTTCGAGATTATTTATTTGGTCAAAATTTTGATACTAAGTTTCACGTGAATCAATTTTTTAATAATTTGAAATTAAAAAAATTTTAAAATTCACTTACAAATTAACTAATTATCATTATGTATTATTTTTAAAAATATTAATAAAGTTTTTAGAACAAATTTAATTATTTCTAAAAATGTTAATAAAATTCTTTAAAATAATTCAATTATTTTCAAAAATATTAATAAAGTTCTTCGCAAAAATTCAATTATTTTCAAAAAATTTTATCAAATTCTTCCCAAGAATTCAATTATTTTTTTTAAATAATATCATTCTTCTTAGAAATTCAATTATTTTAAAAAATGTTAATAAAATTCTCTGAAATAATTCAATTATTTTCGGAAATATTAATAAAGTTCTTCGCAAAAATTCAATTATTTTCAAAAAATTTTATCAAATTCTTCCCAAGAATTCAATAATTTTTTTTAAATAATATCATTCTTCTCAGAAATTCAATTATTTTAAAAAATGTAAATAAAATTCTCTGAAATAATTCAATTATTTTCGGAAATATTAATAAAGTTCTTCGCAAAAATTCAATTATTTTCATTAATAATAAAATTCTTAGAAGAAATTAAAAGATTTTCAACAATTTGAATAAAATTTCTTCCAAAAATATAATTATTTTCATAAACGATTGAATTTTTTGCAGAAATTCAATTATTTCCCAAACTATTGGTAACATTATTCTCAAAAATTCAATTATTTTTATTAATAATAAAATTCTCCAAAAAGAATTAAAATATTTTCAAACATTTGTCCCAACAATCTAATTGTTTTTATAAACAATTAAATTTTTCAGAAATTTAATAATTTTCAAAAAATCTTATCAAATTCTTTCCAAGAATTCAATTATTTTTAAAAATAATAAAATTCTTCGAAGAAATTAAAGTATTTTTAAAAATTTGGATAACATTTTTCCCAAGAATCTAATTATTTTCATAAACGATTGAATTTTTGCAGAAATTCAATTATTTTCAAAAAATGTTATCAAATTCTTCTCAAGAATTCAATTATTTATATAAATAATTTAATTATTTTCAAAAATTTTAATAAAATTCTTCAAATGAATTCAATTATTTTCTTATTTGTTTGAATAAAATTTTTAAAAATAATTTTATTGTTTATACAAATTTTTTTATATTCTTCCCAGGAATTCAATTATTTTTATAAATAATATAATTCTTCTCAGAAATTCAATTATTTTTAAAAATTTTAATATAGTTCTTTAAATAAATTCAATTATTTTCTCCTCGGTTTTAATAAAGTTTTTAAAAATAATTTAATTGTTTAAACAATTTTTTTACATTCTTTGAAAGAATTCAATTATCTTCAAAACTTTGATTAAAATTTCTATGCAAAAATTAAATTATTTTAAGTTCTAAATGTTTAAAGTTACAAAAAAAATTATGGATTTTAAAAAAAAATGTTATATATATTTTAAAATAAAAAAACATTTACTTCACAACAAAAAATTATGTAAACTCTAAAAATAAAATAAAAATAATTAAAATCCAATTTTCTTATACACCAAGAAAATAGTTTCTGTTGATTTAAGGAAATCGTTTCCTTTGACTTGCTTTTTCGATTAAAAATTTAATTTTTTCTTGATTAAAAAAAAAAATTATTAATTTGTTTGAAAAATTTAATCCTATATGATCAAAGAAATGATTTTTTAATTTAAAAAGTAAAATTTCATTGAAACAAATTAATTTTTCAATTATTATCAATAATAAAAATTTTCTTTGGTATAAGGAACAAATTTCTTGGAAAGGATAATTTGTTGAAGGATAATTTGTTTAAATTAAAGAATTTTTTTTGGCATTATAAACTCCCTTTTTATTTAAAAGAAAAATTTTCATTTTAAATGAAACAAAACGAGTCTAAGAAACTGATTTTTTTTAAATTAAATTTTTTTTTCTTTATGTAAAATAAATAAAATAAATAAAATTAACCATTTTGCTAATAATTATAGGTATAATAAAAATAAAATAAACTAAAATTTCTAAAAAATATATGTTTTACTGTTTAATTTTCTAAATTATCTAATAATTATTGTAGACAAATATGAAAACAAAATTGACTAAATATATGTCCAGTTTCTAAAATTTATGGAACAGAAATTCGTAGTCAGTCGAAAAGTGATTTTTGTATCAGAAAACGATTCGTTTTCTTTATTTAACAAATATTTCAAAAAATTTTCTGAATTAGTTGCGAAATTATTTTTCCTTTGCTGAAAAAAGGATAAATTTTTTTTAAAGAGAGAAATATTTGTTTCGAAAGAGAGAGAGAGAGAGAGAGAGAGAGAGAGAAATAACTTTTTCCACTCACCATATCGAGGAGAACGAAAATGCTAAGGGAAAATATCATGAGGAGAGCCAAAATCCTTCGAAGCCATCTCGCTCTCACGGCGCTTCCAAGGCAAGTTGCACCTGCCAAGACTATTCCATAGAGCGTGACTACTGCCACACCTCCGTATGTGAATCGACTCGAATGTTGGAATCTCCATACTGGAGCCGAGCACAGTAGCACTAAAGGTCCTCCCAATACCGAAAGTGGTGAAAATGCCTCCTCAGCACTATGAAAACCTCTCTCCAATTGTGGATCCTTGAAATGTAGAGTCAGCCACGAGGCGTGATCCTTCAACTCCGTTCCTCCAACTGAAAAATTAATTTTCTATTGAAAAACAATTCCTTTGTCATATATTTTTCAATTTTATCTATAAAAGAAAAGTATCTTTATTTCTTCTTGAATTAAATTTTTTTTGCCACTTGAAATCTTTTTTTCAAAAACCGAAACAGTCAGTTTTCGAATTTTTTAATTTTACCAAAATAGAAATTTCTATTTAAATTTTTTTTTCCTCTTAAACTATTTGTAACTGAAACCGACAATTTTTATTATTTTTACTGTAGAAATGATGGAATCAAAAATTATTTATGTTTATCTATACTTTTTTAAGATCGAAGTTTTATTTATTTCAAGTACAAATTTCGGAGGAGAATATGATTTTATTTTCATTGTTGACTTTCACTTTCGTTTTCACTTTGACTTTAATTTTGACTTTAACTTTGACTTTCAGTTTGACTTTCAGTTTCATAAGAAAATTCTGAATGTAATTCTTCAGCATTGAAAAGATTATATTTATTTTAAACTTTTACTATTTTTAACAATAAATGAACTTTACAGATTTAAAATTGAATTTTTTGAATAATTTTTTTAATTAATTTTTAAAAAATTTTTTTTACAAATAAAATAAATAAGTAGCAAATGTCACGCCTGCCAAACAAAGTATTTAATTTATTATTATTATGTTAATTATGTAAATTACAATTTTAATTGAATTACTCAAAAGAATTGGATTATCTTTACAAAATTTCAATAAAAAATTCTTCGACTTTATGAGAAGTTACAAAAATCTTAACTTTCAAAATAAAAAAAATTTCACATATTAACGAAAAATTGTGTGTGAAATAAATTATAATTTCTAATTTTTTTTTGCAATAATATTACATAATATATCAAAAAATGTATTCTCTAAATTTGAATAAGTAAAAATTTAACCTGATTAAAACAGAAGTGATATGAATTTTCCAAAAAATATTTTTTTTTAATCCTACATAAAACAAGACATTAAAATAAATAAAATTATGTTTCTCTCAGAAAATAAATTGTAAAAAATTTTAATTAAAAATTCTGAAGAAGTTAGTTTTTTGAACCATTTTTTTCAAATTTTTTTTTAAAATTAGTTGTCTTTTTAAATAAATATTTAATTGCAAAATTTTCAAATTATTGAAATTTCATAAAATAGAATTGTAATCAAGTGAATTTTAGAAATAGTTTAGATGAGCTTTTTGATATATAAATAATAATTTAATTTAAGGAACTTTCTCAAAAAATTATTAAAAATAATAATAATTGAATTAAAAATAAATTTCAGTTAAAAATTCTAGAAAATAAGTGAATTGAAATCTTGAAAATAATTTTTGATTAGTTACATAGCAGCAATACATAGTAATTATTGAATCATACAACTATTGACAACGCGACGAAAAATCTGTGGAATTTTTATTTGAGTCAATTAAATGGTATTTAATTCAAATGCTGTAATTACTGGTTTTAATAAAATTTATTTTATTTAAATTAAAATTTGACTTAAATTAAATTTGTTTAACACTTTGAGGACCAAATTTTTTCTTAAAAAATCGCGATTTTTGATTTTTAAGCAAACTTAATTTGGAAATTTTCCAGACTATGTGAAAATTATTGTTTCAATATTCAGTTTTGAAAATTAAGAAATTTATGCACGAGTTAATAAAAAAATGTTTATGTTGCCTGAAAGCAACACTGGTCCTCAAAGGGTTAATTCAAGTAAACATATTTTTGCTAATAGACAAGTAATCGGTTATTTGAATCAAAAAAATTTTTTGTTAGTGTAAAAGCAAAGGTTTAAGTCAGAGTCAAAGTGAAAATAAGAGTTAAAACTTAAAATCGAATGAAAAGTCAAAGTCAAATTGCAAAATCGTAGTCTTAAATATTAATTTTGTTTTTAAAACAAATTTTCTTCATTGTGATTTAAAATGACTATTTATAGCCAATTAAATACTATTTATTCCAAATTAACACAAATATATTAGAAATAATTAAAAATGTTAATAATATTATTTTTTTATATTCGAATTAGAATTAGAATCAGAATTTACATAAAGAATTAAAAATAGAATTAGAAAATTTCGAACAAATATTATCCAAATTCAATAGGGAATTAAAGAAGTTTTAAAGAAATTTTTTTATTTTAAAGAAGTTTTTTTTTTAAAAGTAATTAAATATGTTAATATGCTATTAATATGAAATTAGTATTAAAAATAGTTAATTGAAATATTGATATTAATGAACTAGTTTGTGTTAATAAAGTAGTTAATTATTATCCATATTTCAATCAATAGTTATTGATGAAATAATAATAGTATAATAATAATAATAATAATAATAATAGTTATTCCAAAGGAAAATATATTATTTAACAATATTTATTTACAAAAGAATGATGAATTTAAAAAAAATTTCCTGAATAAAAAAGAAAATAGAACATAAAGGAAAAATTTTAATAATTAAAATTGAAAAGTAGCAAAGTTGGACTTGTCGGGTTTTTGTAAAATAAAATGAAAAAAAAAAACTGTCACGCTTTGAGATGGAATATTTTTGCAAAAAAAAAAAAAAATACAAAAATGGAAAAGTGGTTTTTTTTATATTTTAAATAATGAGTGTGAAGTTATTTTTAACAATTTAAAAAGTAGGTTGAATTTGGAAAGATAATGAGAAAAGTTTTTTGTTATTTTTTTTTTTCATTTACATGACACATACTTCTGCTGTCAAGTTCCTGGCGAAGTCGTAGTCGAAAATCTTCAGAGTCCTCTTTGTTTCTGCCATCAGTGTCAGAGACGACTGTATGAGAATATTCAGCATCGGCCAGCGATGCGAGACTTTTGGTCAGAGCTGGTTTAAATGGCTTGAGGGCTCTGACTATAAAGTACGTGACGAGGCCAGCTTTTTGAAGTGCCTCCTCGCGATTTTCACCGAAAGCTCGTTCCACCTCAAATTCATCGTTTAGGAAGCTCAGAGTGGCGTTTGATATATGTACCCTCCTATAATGAAAAGAAATTTCAGCAAGACAAAAAATAAAAAAGAAAATTTAATTTAATTTTCACATTGTGATTCGCAAATTTTTTATATAAAAATCTATTATACTTATAATTTTATTCAGTATTGTTACATTTTGTTCATAAAACATGATTTCTTAAGTGGAATAAGTCAATTTTAGCCAGACAAGAATTACATCATTTTTAAGTTAAGAAATTTGAACAGTCGGGACAGTTTTTTTTAACCCTAGAAGGAGTAACTGGGGTGTCTGGACACCCCAAGCAAAATTTAAAGTATTCCCATGGCTTAACCAATAATTTTTTTACGCTCAAAACCCGTTGATAATTTAGTTTAAACCTCTATCTTTTGACACCTGTATGTGCCGCCAAAAGTTTTGCTCTAGGAAGAGCTCTATCTCCTGATAAAATACGTCTGGGGTGTCTGGACACCCCAGTTACTCCCTAACGTTAGAAAAATTGTCAAGATAAGTAAATTTAAATTTTTTTAAAAAATCGTTTTTAATCAGTTAAAAACATCTAATAAAGTATAAATTGATATGTTATGCATGAAAAAGTTGTATTTTATAAAAAAGAAACATTTTTATACAAAAATTCTATTTTTATGAAAAATAGACATTCTGTATTTGTAACAACTTATGAAATTTGAGTTAAGATTTATTAAAAATTTCTGTGCTCTCTCTACAGTCAGAAATTAAATTCTAATACAGAAAAATGTAGTATATGACAGTCAAATTTAAATTATAAATTCTATATTGTTAATAATATTTTAACATATATTAGAGGTATTAAGAATTGATAATTAAAACTTTGATTAAATATTAATTTACAGAATCATTTCATAAGTTATTAATTTTAATGTTAATGTATTCAGATATATTAAGTTTGTAAAATTTTAAATTTATAGCACCATTTTTAGTAAATATTAATTGTTTAAGTCCATTTTTATGATTTTCACTATTCGTCAATTGTCTTTAATTTCTTTCACTTCAGATGTTCAAATAATTATGTTTTTTGGAACTAATACAAAAACTAATTTTTTCCCCTAAAAGTGTATCTATTTAACTTTAAAAACCTAAAATAGTTTTTAAATTAGTCAAATTCTTAAGAAACTACAACGTTTTTTGTAAAAAAAGTCAATTTTGCAATTTTTTGGTGTTTTTTTTTGGGTTTTTACGGTTTTTTTTCAAATTTTTTTTAATTTATCAAAGTATAAACAATATTATTGTATTCCTTTCTAAAAAACCAATCAATTCATTATAAAAAAATTTTTTTACGTCAAATAGAAACCTTATAAAACAAGTTTAAAGCGTGGGGTGTCGGGACGCCCCAGTTACTCCTTAGAGGGTGAGTAAATTAACGTACTCCTTCTAGGGTTAAAGATAATTTTATATAAATTATTATTTTCGAGTTCGACTGTCTTAAATTATTAGTTTTTCTTACCGATGAGTAGAAATAGTCTGTTTCGGTAAGACAAAATTCGCATCCGGAGTAAATAAATATATTTCACCAATTAACGAAACTGTTTTTTCAAAAAAATATTCATTGAATATTTTCTACCTTATTTAGAAAACAGTAATTTAATCATTTTTAAGTGGAGTAATCCATTTTTAGCCAGACAGAACATAATTTTAGAATATAGAGAAATTTAAAAAAAACAGGTATAAATTTTTTGAAAAACATAACGTAGGACTACTATAACATTGTAAATAATCAAGTGTTTGTTTTTTTTAAGTAGAAAAATACAGTCCTAGTCAGACCGTGTCTGAATATTTACTTACAAATATTATTAAGAGAAGCAAAACTGTTTTTTTCCACGTTTACCTTTTTTGCAATACCTTGTTTATTAGGTTAAATATTTCTTAATAAAGAATTAAGTAAAAAAAGTTGATTATAGTCAGAAAAAGCTAGATTTCTTGACTAAAAAGAAAGAGAATTGGAAAAAAAAATTGTATCTATAAAATTTAATCGGATATTATTCGCCCATTAAAGAAATTTAATTTTTGTGGTTTAAGTAGTAAAGTACAATTCAAGTCAGAAATAATTTGAGCACTTAGTAAAAAAAGTTATCAGGTAAGCGGAAATTTCTTTATCCAAGTAAATATTCTTACTGCTATTCTGTTTTCTTTGAAATAATTTTTATTAATTGTCAGTAGAACAAATCGGTTATTGTCAGACAAATCTCAAATTTTCAGGGTTGACAAAAAAAATTAATTTTCTTTTTCCCTATTTCCAGGCAAAATTTTGACTTTTTCCCTGACTCAAAAGAATATTTTGATTCTCAAATTTAAGCCTTTTGAAATTCAATAACTTTTAAGAATATTATTATAAGACATGAAGATATCGAGCACTCCGAGTCAAAGACTCGGAGTAATCGCTATCTTCATGTTTTATAATAATTTAAATTTCTATAAACATTTTCAAATAAAAAAAATAAACTATTTATACAAAAATTTTAATAAAATTCGTTGTAAGAATTTAATTATTATCATAAATAATAAAATTTTTCCTGGGACATAAATTATTATTATTAATATAAGTTTAAATGAATTCCTCGAAAAATGTAATTATTTTCAATTTTTTTTTGCAAGAATTTAATTATATTTCAGAAATAATTGAATATTTTCAAAATCTACTATTTTAATAAAATTTCTCAAAAAATTCAATTATTTTCAAAAATAATAAAATTCTTCACAGGATTTCAATTATTTAAAAGAAATGTAATAAATATCGTTGCAACAATTCAATTGTTTTTCTAAATAATAAAATTCTTCTGAGGATTTCAATTATTTTTAATCCAATTTTAAGTGAATTCTTCGAAAAAAGTAATTAATTAAAAAATTTGTATTAAAATTCTTTAAAATAAATAATTAACAATTATCAATTATTTTAAATTTTTTATCTGAAATTTTATTTGAAATTCGTTTTTAAAACAATTTTCATTAAAAAATTCTACAAAAATTCAATTATTTAAATAAAAAAATGAAAAAATTATTGAATAAAATGAATTTTTTTCAAAATTAAATTCTCGTAAAGAATTTTATGAACAAATTTTTAAATAATCGAATTTTTTCGACGAATATTAATAAAATTTTCAAGAAGAATTACCTTTTTCGAGGAATTCGTTTAAAATTGTATTAAAAATAATTGAAATTCTATAATGAGTTGCATTGTCCCTGAAAATAATTGAAACCTTTTATTATTTATAAAAATAATTGAATTATTGCAAAAAAAATTTTTAAAAATTTGTAAATAGTTGAATTTTTGTAAAATGTTTATTATTTATAAAAATAGTTGAATTTTGGAAGAGAGTTTTATTATTTTTAAAGATAATTGAAATTTTTACTAGAATTTTTTCAAATTTTTGAACAAAATTGAATTTTTGCAAATATTTGTAACTTCTCTAAAATAAAATTTTTTTTAGTGTTTTTAACTAAAATTCTTCTATATAATCCATGATTTTTAATAATTAATTAAATATATATATTAAAAAATAAAACAAAACTAATTATGAATCCTGCAAATTTAATTTTTTCCAGTACTTTAATAAAATTCCCTGACTTTTTCCTGATTTCCATGACAAATTCTACTTTTTCTGACTGTTGCCTGAATTCCCTGACCTGTGACAACTCGGATTTTTTACGTAGAATATTATTTTATTACTATTTATTTTTTTATTTTTCAAAATAATTGCTTAAAAAAAATTTTATACTTAATTTTTCCTTATTTTAAATATTGAACAATTTTATATCGCTTCTTACTTACTTTTTAAGTCGAAAATTACGTTTTTAGTCAGACAATGTTCCAAGTTTATATCAAGATACTTAATTAACTTAAAAAACTGTTCTTTCCCAAAAATAAGTTAGTTTTTGTTTATAAAACATTAATTTTAGTAATTTCAAGTAGAGTAATTAATTTTTAGTCAGACAAAACTTAATTTTTTAATACGAGGAAAATTAATAAGCCAGGTAAATTCTTTTGAAATATTTCTCATAGGATTAAGTAGAAAAAGTCGATTAGTCAGACAAACTAGATCTTTTGAATAAAAAAAAATTCTTTGTTTTTAGTCGAGGACAGAAGCATCTTTATCTATGAAATTTTATTTGGCATTATTCTTATTATGGCATTATTTCTTATTGAAATTTAATTTTTCCGTTTTAAATAGTAATGTATAATTCATGTCAGACCGAATTTGAGTACTTCATAGAAAAAGATACCTGGTAAGTGGAAATTTGTTTATCTAAAATTTACCAACCATTTAGATTTTTTTGTTTTTTTTTGTTTATTTGTTATCTTCTAGAGTGATAAGTAGTACAGGATTGTTTTAGTAAGACCGAATTTTCACCCCTAGTAAAAAATATAATAATAAGTTTTTCATAAACAATTGTATTCAATATTTTATGTTTTGTTTATAAAACATGAATTCTCTGTAATTCTAAGTGAAATAATTGAATTTTAGTCAAACAAGCTTTACAGTTTAAGGGTTAAGAAATTTGAACAGCCACTTTTTCAATTTTAAAGTAGTAAAAATGTTTATTAATTTTAATTAGTGACTATTTTATATTTAGAGAGGGGGATAATTTTTTATCTGATTTTACAAAATTTATTATTTTTGCTTGGTTTAAATTTAAAATATTAATATTCTCCATTTGATAAGTAGAAATAGACTATTTTTTCAGACATAATTTGCACTTAGAATAAACAATTATATATTTAATGACTCGAAACTCTTTTTCCAAAAGAATCCATTGCTTATTGTCTTCCTTATCTTTCAAACATTAATTTAATCATTTTCAAGTAGAGTAATACTCTTTTATCAGACAAGTCTTAATTGTAATTATAGGGAAAATTACAAAAATAGCTAAATAATTTTTTTTTGAACAATGTTACGTTTTTTTCAACAATTGTCTCATCTGCAATTCTCTTTTAAATTACAATTCTCTTGTAATTGTTTATTGGGTGCAATATTTCTTTCAGGATTAAGTGAT